ACATTCTGTGATTCTGTGATTCTGTGAAGCATACAGGGGTGGAGAAGACTTTGCTCTTTTATCCCTTCCACTAAGATGGACAGGCAGCATTCAGAACACTCCCCCTCCCAAAAAGAGATACCTTCAAAATCATCCTTAAGGAAGTCAGAGTTCTTAGTACTTATTTTGCAGGTTGGCCCAGAGTACCCAGGGTCACAGATGCACTTTGTGCCGTTGACGCAGCTGCCATGGCCGTTGCACATCTCTTCGCACTGGGGGCCGATGTACACATTGTCGATGGCCCAAGTCACTGGCTGGGATCCAGTAGGGTAAAATCCTTGGTACCATCTGAACCTTGCCAACCTGAAAAAGGCATGAAGTGTACTTACTTTAAATATTAGTTCCATTTTTTTTTTAATTCCATATATACATGCTACACTATGCATATATATAGTATTCTTTCTGTTGGAACTGGGTTGATAAATAGCTTAATTCTAGAAACTGACGGCTCTATCTAATTCCTTCAGTACCTCATGCATCTTGATGATGACGTTCAACCCAAGTACTGGCAGAAATAAAAATAACATTATTCATTAGGTGTAATACCAAAACTGAACGACGGACTTGAAAATGGGATTTGAAATCTAACCACTCTTCTCTCCATCAGTCACAGGGAGGATGAATGGCCGTGGTCTAACAGATTTCCTTCGGCTTTGGCTTACAGTTTCTGGGTCAGACCAGGCCACTTTCACCCTTTCCTAGAGAGTGAAATCCTACTTCATGCTGCCACCCTGCCCCAGGCAGACCACATGTGGAGCTGGGCTGCTAGGATTTCACCCTCAATTACATGTAAAGAAAACATAACCTGCTATGTCACCAGGTATTCAGCTTGCTTTTGGGTGGCTTAATCTTAAATCAGACTAATACTGCATATTGCAAGCTGTTAGTTTAAACTATATTCTCCTTTGGATTCTGTCCTGTCATTTTTAATTCACCTCCTAAGTTCTACTCACATCAATGCTGCATATAAAGATGAACCGACTGGGGAAGGAGGGAAAACAAATAAAGATGGAGAAAAACACTTGAGATGCTAATTTTATCCCCAGCTGAGAAAATGTTTTAAAGGAGGAAGAAAAGCAAAAGAGTGGAAGGGGGAAAGCAATTAATTGCCTTGCATGTTTAATGTGTCTTGTAAGAGATATATGAATGCAGCTGGTGAATCAATAGCGCAGGTAGCTGAGGAGATTTTTTGTCTTGATTTGCTAAAAAAGAGTTTTTATGAGAAGATTCAGGTGATAAGGGATGGATGGGAACATTACTCAAAGTTTCAAGATACCCAAGAATCAGAGTTGCTGGAAGTCAAAACCATTGATTTTAGTGCACCCTGAGCTGAAGGACACATGTGTGAAGTTGGAGGCGTTGGAAGCTGCCCTTCAGAAGAGATCTCTGCCCCACAAGCTGAATTCACTCCACCCCTGAGGTGTGTCAGCTCCTTCTCTCAGGCTCCCTTATGGTGAGGGCGAAGCGTGACCCATGTTGGAGGCAGAGAGTGAAATATCGGTCTTGGTGAAGTTGGTAGGGGTTTCTTCACTGGCTCAACTGGCCCTGTGCTTTTTCCTTTAGAACATAACTGGAATACTAGTTCTTAGTTACAGCTGTCTGCTGAGAATATATATTAATGTCCAAAATAACATCTGTAGTGGAAATAATGGATAATGTCTTCATCTTCACTTAAACACAATTGTTTTACACTTTGGAGATGAAAAGGGCTGGTTTTTTTTTTTGTTGCTGTTGGTCTTTTTTTGAGAATTACATAAGAAGTCAGGTATGGACTTTTTTTCTTGTTGTTCCACTGGATTGTGTTGGAAAAAATTCCCCTTCAGCCCTCTGGCCCAAGAATTTCACGTCACCAAGTGCTCCCTAGAAGCTGCTCTGCACTGCTGTGTTTGGCCAGCTACCAGCAGGGCTTCTGGCCCATTGCGTTGGGGAAGGAATAGGAAGGCAGGCAGGCAAACAGGACAGAAATACTCAGGAGCAGAGGACTAAATCAAAATATCTAGGAGGTTTAAACGAATTAAGAGTCTGCATAGTCAAAATTTTCATTTGGAGGGATGCATTGGTAGTTGAGTAAAGGGTCAAATAATTCTTTTCGGCAAAAACAGGACAAATGAGCTGCTGCAAGAGATGGTTACCCATTCCATGATTGAAATGTTAACTGCTATAAACAAGAAAATTCAAGTTTAAAATTTAAACGTTTTCTTAAATTATTGAACATCCAGGCTTTCCAGACTTGATTCTTATCTCATATAGGTCTTTTCAGACTTTCAGAGGCACATATGGGGCCACTTATTTAGTGGAGGGCCCACTGCATGCAGCAGTTTCATAAATGCTCAGTCTCATAGTTGCACAGACCGATAAAGCATCATAGTTGCATTGCTCATTTTCATTCATATGTGCTACAGTTTAATCCTTAATGATGTGATCTTTTACATAAACTGCTGCTAGAAGGCAGTTTTCCCTGAAAAAGTAAACAGGACTGTTTTATACTTAAAAAAAATACATACTACTATGTCTGCTGGCACGCACTGGTTTTCTGTGCTGTGTATCTGTTATCGTCCAACCTGGTTTGTTCCACAAGCTTGAAGTTTCTGAGTGACTGCAGTAGTTAATTTCTTAGAATCGAGACAACTTTACAGCTACAAGAGACCTCGAGTATTTAGATCAGTCCTTACACTGAAGTAGAATCAATTTTACACCAGCTCACATTTTACTGCATTTTCTAATGAATCTCAAATTCCGTACAAGAATATCCTTGATGAACTCAAATGGCCAATGCACTGCAGTACAGCATATTCAAAGTGCTTTAAGTCAGTTTTGCATTAATTTTACCGTGAACCCCACTTCCATAAAAATGACACCAATGAGATATATGGAAAAATGGGAAATAACCTGTGGTTATTCTATAGCAACATGAGGCACAACATATTTTTGGGAATTAGCTGAACACTAACATTCAGGATAAAAAGTGGAGAAAAAATTGGTCATCTGCTCTAGTGCTTCAGATCTTAAGCACTGCTCTTCTGCTGGGAGAATGTTTTGGAGGGGAAACAGAAATAAAATTAGGTAAAAAAGCAGCCAGACACTTACCCACAGAGGTGCAGTTTTCCAAAGTGAATGACCTCCCTTCTCCAGCCCTGGGTGGTGCCTGCATAGTAAGTGCTGCTTGGGTGATGCTCGGTGGAGCACAGGGAGCTGAGGTGGCTGCTGCTGCTGTAGCACAAGGGGAGCAGCAGGTGCCAGGTTGCCCCCAGATCTCGTGAGAACTCCAGCTTTACCGGGTCGGCAGAGGAGCTGTCAGTGGTGCAGCCGATATTGATCTGGGGGCCAAGACATGAAATGCAAAAGATGACACAGGGCAGGTGGTGGGACTCCTAATCACTTTTTGTCCTAGCCTCTCCTATTTGATAGAGTATTTATTTAGCCCAGAAAAATGGTGATTTAGGAACTTTTTTAACAACTGGGATGGTACAATCAGGACATGCACATAAACACAGAATAACAGAATCATAGAATGGTTTGGGTTGGAAGGGACCTGAAAGATCATCTAGTTCCAGCCACCTGCCATGGGCAGGGACACCTCCCACTAGGCCAGGCTGCTCAAAGCCCTGTCCAGCCTGGCCTTGAACACTCCCAGGGAGGGGGCATCCACAGCTTCCCTGGGCATCCTGTTCCAGTGTCTCACCACCTTCACAGTAAAGAATTTCTTCCTAATATTTAATATAAATCTACCATCTTTCAGTTTGAAACCATTACCTCTCATCCTGTCACTACAGTCCTTGATAAGAAGTCTCATCTTTCCTGTAGGACCCCTTTATGTACTGGAAAACCACTGTAAGGTGTCCCCAGAGCCTTTTCTTCTTCAGGCTGAACAGCCCCACCTCTCTCAGCCTGTTCTAATATGGAGGTGCTCCAGCCCCCTGATCAGAACACGAACTCTTGCACGTTGCCCTACCCATCCATGGGCAAATAGTATTCGCTTATCACAAAATGAATGTAATATGACATGCCCAACTACTTCTAGTAAGAGAAAACCATAAAGCTAATTAGATAAAATCCCAGAGGAGATCTGCTAACGTTGATGGAGCAAATGCATCAGCTTTTGCAGTCCTCTGTCCTCTGGCAAGCAGCAAAGTAGTAACAGCACCAGAAAAACGTGCATTTTTTAAACCAGAAACATTAAAACCAAAATGGGCAAACATAAACTTTTTGGTCCTCTTTTATGTTACACTTCTCCCCCCCCCCAAAAAAAAAAGAGCTTATGCCATATGGTGTGTGCTTATCACTTCAATATGCTCTTCAGCTTTCATACTCACTACCCTTTTGCTCATGTATAGTGGCAAAGCCCCAGGAGCCAGCTCTAAAAGAGTATCATAGCTGGATTGCATTTAGATTCAATGTCACACCAAAACATAGTTTAGCAGTGTCAAACTTCTCAAGGTGTTCCTACAAGACTGCTGATGTAGAGAGCAGTAGAAAAAGTAGAAAACTTAGATGAACAACCATTCTACTACTTAAAAAGATACAAAATTATAAAGATACAAAATTATATTTTGTATAGTATCTGAGACCTCTTAAGATGTATTTTTTCCACGCATCCAATGCAAACTAGTCTACTTTTCTTCCACACTGATATTAAGATGTTTTAGTTTCAGATTGCTTATATAAGGGAAGAAGAATGAGGCCCCTTTCAGGATGATTCTGCCATATAAAATAAGATGTACTATACTTACCATACAATAAATAAAAACCTAATACCAATAAAATACTAAGCCTATACTAAAAGTATGAAATGCTTGGGGGTTCTTAAATCTTTGTAGTGGAAAATAAGTGCCTTTCTAACATGCTGCTCTGTAATAAAAATCTCTTTGTTTCTAAAACCCAGTGATACTTAGAGCTGTGCATCAGAGTTGAAAATGTATCCTACATTGAATTTCCTTCATCACTCTTCAGCACACATGAGTCCCAGCAACCTACATTTGACTAGAAGGGCTGTCTACTCATCTGGAAGTTTAGAGAGACACTTGACCCAAAATATGTTTGGACTCTTGAGACACAGAGGGAAACGCTACTGCGTTATGCATAACTTCTTCATTTATACTAATATCCTCAAAAACGTGAGCTGAAAATTATGTTCTTACCACATATGGAAGTAAGCATGTAGATTTTATGAGGTTAATACTCTGAAGACTTATGAATATCTTAAAGTGACCCCAAACATTTTTGTTCTACAGGCTGTAATCTATATTTTAAAACAGAAAATGGTTTGCATTCAATTATTTATGAATTCATTGCATGACAAACTGAAGTGTGCGTGAGTATACAGCTAAACTTAGTTTTCTTGGAAACTCTTTAGTATCATTTTAGTAATTTTTTATAAACTTGTATCATTTGCTGATTAATGCTACAGCACGCTACGTTTTTGTTAAAAGCAGCCTGGGAACTGTGGCATAGCAATTTACATGAAAGATTCTTTTATGGTTTCTTAATGATGATATAATGATCCCTCTAAGCTAATACATAGCAAGCTAAATGGTTATTCCTATCGGTAGATGTCCTACCCAATGGGCAGTTTAGATTTTAGGCTAAACCAGAAACACATTTTAGTTTAGACTGTGTTGTCACTGGGGTACTTGTTTCCACTGACTTTATGAGAAGCACAAAAAATATGGTCCTTATTCATGAGCCTTAGATTACTCACTAATATGGGAAGAATCCAGGCCATCATGGCCAAAGAACAGCTACTCCTAGAGTGTCTATGAAAGCATGGGCAAAAGCAAAAGGAAGGCAGAACCTTGTCTCTCTGAGAAACCTTGTCTCTGAGAAAGTACAACAGTCCAGTTAAGCCAATAGGCAGGAAAAATTAATTTCTAGCATCACAGATGAAGATGTAGCTCTCCCCTGGATCAGCTGCACACTTGTCCTGAGTAGGCTGTGAAGTTGCAATCTGGACCCTCATATTTTGCGCATCGTCTTGTCTGTTGGTGGTGACTCTCCAACTTGTAGGACATAGACTTTAATGCTATCAGTGCAAGTATATAGATATACACTATATAGTATATAGATATTTAGTATATAGATATAGACAAAGACAATAGATATAGTATATAGATACAGACAAGAAAGCAGAAGATTTTGAGGCAAAAAATTCCCTTATCTATGTATTCAAAGCTTCATGATACACCCACACGAGGGAAAGTAATATCAAAGCATTTACAGTGGAAATTAGACAAACTTGTCTGCTTGGAAATCAGAGCTGAGAAAATACACTGAAGAACAGAACCTGAAAGAACAGAACTCTCTAAGAAAAAGGCAAAATAATGTTCTGAGGACAAGTACCTCGAACTGGATTATAGTATTTTCATTTACAGTCAGGTCCCTTGTTGTAATAGAGTGTTCTCCAACTTCATTTGAAACAAATACCATAGCTGAATCTTCTTCCCTGTAAAAAAAAGAAAGGAGTACTTTAGACTCAGTTTGTTACACAGTCACTTCTTTTCAATTTATTGCTGAGAGATGCTTACGGAGCTCCTTTAGATGAATACGGGCAATAGAGCCCAATGTTTCCACCAGGATAGAAAAACCAGTTGTCCTCTTTGGGACCAAAGTCAAATGTATCCAAAAGGATCACAGGATTCTTCAGGTTATTTCCATCAATAATAAAGTCATCAATAATCCAGATTTCTTCCTTTTTCCCTAC